ATGGAGAGCATACATGCTGATGAACACAAAGTCCTGGACCGCCATCGTCGAGAGACTTCCCTACCAGCCACACATTCCAGTAATGACAGTAATAACAAAATGAATGACTCTTCTGAAAGATGGATTGTATTATTTAGAAAAAGTTTTGTTCTCTAACTCAGTTAGAGTGTGTGGATTCATAATAATCATCTTTTCTTCTTTTTGAGCTTGCCCTGTTTACTGCTTCCATTTGAGGTTACATCTGTATGCTGAATTGTATTTGTCTTTTAACAAAGAGACTAGAACTTCTTTAAATCTGAAGATGTTTTCTGGGATCTTAAAACTCTGCTTGAAAGTTTCTCCTTCTAATTATCAAAATCTCATAATTTGTTTGCCTGAAGTGACAGAGGAAAACAGCCCCTTGTACTCTTACAGCTTCTGTTGAACAGAGGAATGTCAAATATGTAACTTTGCAATTAGGAAGATGGTGTCGGTTAACTGCCTAAAATATATTATTGTTAAAAAATATTAACCTTAAACCCCTAAGAGCAATTGGTGTCAATTAAATTCTTACAATATCAACCCTGGATCCCACATTAAGCATGCAAAAATTAAGGATTTGACCACCAATTGAAGAACCTCTTGTCAGCACCTTACGAATTGTACAGAGAAGAGTATAGAGAAGAGTATGGAAAATATTGATACTGATGTTTGGGTGTAAAGTTTTTTCTTCATCTTTTTCTTGTTCGTAAAGATGCTGATGAGGAGAAAGGACTCTCAAGTAAGAATCAGGAACAGGACAATATTCAGTTAGGAAGAAGGGAAGACAGCAGAAGAACTGAAGACTCATTCAGTGAGAGTGAGCAGGTCCGCCATGATGTTCCTTTGAGGGACAGTGAGGAAGACACCGGGAACACAAATAGAAAATATGGAGTCCATGTTGTCTCTGCTACAGATAAATCTGTGAATGGATGGGAAAGTATCATCAAGGTAAACCAGTTTTCTACAAATATACTAATAATGCATTATGAGTGGCAACTCTGTTATGATAACGTCCTGTATTTTTGTTACATTGAATTTCCGTGTAACTTTTGAATCTTTTGACAGGCCGAGCGAGATAGTCGAAGAGCCAATCAGGAAGGAAGAGAAGGCAACGAAGAAGGCATAGAGGAAGAAGGCGAGGAGGAAAATGTAAGAGAGAGAAATAGAAGATCAGTTGATGATGCAGACACCTCCCGACTACAGAACAAGAATGAGCAGAATTATGTTCAGAAACAACCTGGCGAGGGAGAGGTGGCAAATGAACGCAGAGGCGTGGCTCAGCTGGGAGACAAAGATGGTGAGCAAAACGAACAGGGATACCAAGATGACGATACAAGGAGACGGCGTGCCCAGTATGGCGAGAAACAGAGCAACAAACGGGGTGAAGAAGAGGCACGGGAAGGAGATGGTCAGGACAATGAATTATCGCGAAAGAAAATAAATGAACAAGTGGCTGGAATGCAGGAAGACTTTCACGAGGAACAAATTCAGCAACAAAATGAGGACTGGGAAGATCAACGACAACTAAAACAACAAATTCAACCACAGTTTGAAGGACTCTCTCTTGAACGAAACAAGCATTATGAAGCAAGGGAGTTGCCAACACATATTGAGTTGACCGCCATCCCAGCCACCTCACACGACACAGCTCAGGACCATAGAGATCGGTCTGATGGTATGTACACTGTTATTTTTGCTTTCTTTTTTAGTGGTGCTTGAAGCACTACATGATAAGGAGTCCCCGCATTTTTAGTGTTTCATTAGATACAAAATGTGTCTTTGAATTTGAGTTGATGTTACTTTGGAATACAGGAAGACCCGAATGTAAGACTGACTTTTTTTCAAATTAGCCCAAAATATTCCTACATTGTGCATGATTGATATTTTATATGGAGTTGTTAAGCTATTTAGTTCAATAAACAGGTTCCTCATTTTCCGAGGAAAAATGTTTGATTTTAGAAGAGTGTTACTGCTGTCTCTTCTTTTCATCAAATATGATTATGTCGAAATATCGACGCTCATTCCAGGAGTGGCTGGACTAATTACCAGTCCTTTGCTGACATACCCTTATAATTTGGTCAGTTTTCCTCAACAGTTTCCTGGTTCCTATATATATATATATATAGATACTCCTGGCATGGGTGGAGAGAGGTAGTACCTATTTATACTCCTGGCATAGATGGAGAGAGGCAATGTGAAAATTGTACCTTTTGTCTAAAACACATCACAATGGCACAGGCAGGACTCGTGCTTGGACCTGTTGCACTGTTCATCGAGCGCTTCAATTGTTGTTTGTGGAGATGTATATTAGACGAGGAATTCTGAAGTAGCTTAAATTGCGGGTTATTTGTAAGCACAGTAAAGGAATGTTACAGTTGTTAGTCAGTCTGAAAAGTATCTTGTTTCTATAGCTGAAAATGATGACGAAGATGCCAATACTGAACAAGACACAGAGGAAGATCCTGATGATGTTGAAGAAGTTCAAGAGAACGACAACATAGAATCATTCAAGCAACAACAACAACAACAACAACAACAACACCAACAACCACTGAAACAGGACACACAGCGGATTAAACCAATCCAGGGTCAGCAAGGGTTACACCACAAGGAGAGGACCTTTAACAGAGCGTTAAAACATGCTGACGATAACAATAATAATGAACAAAGCCAACAGGCGTAGTTAGATATTAATTTTTCCTACCTGTGACCACACCTCTTAATAGGAATGTGGCAAATACTTTAGTAATGAGAGAAGGAAAAGGGGATGCGGTATCCTGTTCTCTCGTTCCCTTCTTTTTTGCTACCATCTTATGTGTCCTCGGTGTTCACTGATTGATTCTCCCAACCCTTCTCTACAGTTTCTCTATCAAATGTATTCTTGAATTTGGAATTCGAACATCAAAGTGAACACGCGCTGTTCCTCATGGAGGAACATATCGCATGTCGTTTAAGTTTGGTGTTGTATATGACCGTTCGTCAAGTCACGCTCGTGTAGTGACGTTAATTCAGAAGCTCACCGAGCTTTTGCGAATATTTTGCTGAAAGTTGCTTAAAGTGTGTACAGCAGCCCAGAAATTTGAAGAAGAGAATACTTTGCCTTATTTTATTGGTCGATTCGGTTCGCTTAGTTATGATCTGGGACAAATTAATTTATTTAGTAAATGGAGCATTAAGTTAAGATAACGAAGGGGGTGAAGGTCAAAATATCGTTATGTGCGACTCTCTTCTCCGTAGAAAAGTAAAGAAAGTGTTCTATAAGTACTGCTGTATTGGTATCCGTTTAAAATTCATGCCACTGCAAAGCTTATTTATTGCTTTTTCCAATGTAGTTCGGCGGTTGATTCATATGTTTACAGATTTCAATGCTTACATAAAGTTCTAAGACCGCATTTAAGGGAGCTACTGAATGACATCTCTAGTGTTTTTTGCTATCAAGTTCAGTACTATTGAGGAACCACAAGATGTTTTTCCGTCATGACACCACCTCTACCTTATGTTATCAGTTGGGCTCCGTGCTTCTATTGCCATGAACTATCTCTTCAAGACGTTCTTGACATATCAGTTAGGTAAAGTGAAATAGGCCAAAAAAAGAAAAAGGATTAAAAAGAGAAGAATGGCAAAGAATGGAGAATATTAACGCAAAACTTTAGGATAAATTTTTCAAAAACGTTACGTGGCTCCTTTGTTTCTAATATGCTTTTGGATAAGAAAAAAAAAGCCAACATATCTTTCACGCTCTGATCTAACAAAAAACTAACGCTTATTGTATTGGTAAACTCCAAGCTGTTTTGCAAGAGTATTAAGCCGCCCATTCTATCGGTTTGCCGCCGTTTTTACTGAGAGTTTGGAAGATCGCTTAAGGGTTTGTAATTTAAGTAATGTAGGTTCATTCCCAGTATTTAAGTAGACGCGGTGAGGGTTACTGCACTGGTAAACCGATAGAACTGGGGTCTGTTAGATATCAATTCTCAAGGGGTTTCCATATTTTGTGCATTTTGTACGTGTAAATGATCAAGACTTCACAGTACACAACGTAGACGGTTAAAGAGGGAACAGTTTTCGATTCATATCAAAATTAATCATATGCTTTGTAGGTTTAAACCTCAGGAAAATCTGCAATACCGTGAATAATAAAGAGGGTTACCATTTTAATTGAAGGATTACCTAATTTAAAATTTTTCAATACACTCGAGAAAGGTAAAGCTTCACATGATATCTTCCTGTCTTGTCGGTTGCGATGTCTTTATTAACGTGCACATCAAATTGCAATTTCGAAATCCGCATATTAGTAGCGTTATTATCGTTCAAGATTTATTGTATGCCTGTGCGTTACAAATCATTTTAACGTTAAAATCTCGTGATTTGAAATTTTGAATTTCCTCTACCTCGATATACCAGTCTAATTGTTTATTTTCACTACTTCGGCATGAGCCATTAGAAAAGTGATGGGGAGGGGTGGGGCGAGAGCAAACACATACGAAACACATTTCCTACTACATGTAAGCTGTTAAAAGGAAAAGTATGCTCACGACTGCCACACAGAAAAACTGCCCAGCTGATCCCTCTGGATCCTAATGCACAAATTTCTCCAATCATCAGCAGCACAATTTGAGCAGCAATGGTATTAAAGATTCAGAACTCGTATCGTACAAAATATGTTACAGAAACAAACACCAGGGACGTGCATAGTCGATTTACGGAGGGATTTTACACAACAAATTAAGACACACGGACGGTTCTAAATATTGGACTTTTCTATAGCTGGTGCATTTATTGTTATTATTATTATTATCGTAATTATTATTATTTCCAATAACACTACTACTTTGGAAGGTACACCTCAGTGTTAGCTTTACTTTGCCTCTTATCGTTTCGTTGGTTTTCCTGTTTGGTCAAAATTATTGGCCTTATGTCACCCTTGTACTTCGAGGTTCTTATTCCAGGGCCAATCTTTTTGCCTAAAACTCGCGTTAACATTTTAGAATTTGGGCTTAAACGTTGAGCGTGTGGTAAGGTGAAGCTAAGCCAGATTAATAATCACCAGAGCACTGTTATTAATATTACTTAGTAGTTATTTAGCAGAATATGGATAGTGTCTTTCTTAATTGTTGATCATTTTCATTCCTAATCATTTGGTCATAAATCTCGAATTTGATCTTCAAGAAGTTTTCTGTACTGGTCGAATCCACCATCTTGTCTGATGATAGAGCCATTGGAGCATAACCAGACTTCTTTACATACATTTCTAACAAGTCTCTCGTCATGGGTAACCATTATTACCCCGCCCTGCAAAGAGGTGAAAATGTGTTTATAAATTTGGCAACAACAAGCGCAAAAACTTGTTAGAGTAGTACTGAGGCTTTCAAAAAGGAATGTTTATGACTTTCACTAATCAAGAAATCCCAACATGAAAGAGTTTGAAAGGTTACAAGCTTAACGACAACGATTACAAGAACAGACAACTGTGAGAAAAAAAAAGAGAAAGGTACCTTATAATTGTTCAGAGCAACTCCAAGAGCCTCTATAGTCTCCACATCTAAGTGATTTGTGGGTTCGTCCAGAATGAGAAAGTGTGGTCTGTAAATCAAAAGAACAACACTAAAATGAAGACTCGGGAGAGGATCATTTAACAGGTTTCAAGAAACAGTATTATGCAGCGTAGCCTTCATTCGGTCATCGTAACACAATCCCCTGAGCTTTGCGTGGAGAACAAACAACATGAAAAGCTGTACCTTTCAATGGTGAACGATAACCTACATGTATATACTTCGGTTTCAAAAGTTATCTAAACAGTTCTTTGAAATACTACAACAACTGATAAGTTAATTTGGTATCATCACCTGAGTTGATAATGTAAATTGGAAACCGTTAAGTTCCAAACTTGACGTTTCGAGCGTTAGCCCTTCGTTTCGCTCCTTGTTATACTCTCCCGCAGACGCAGCACCACAGTTTGTTTAGAAACTTACCCCCTTTACATAGAAAATGATATACCTCGATCCAAATATATCATATTCTACTATCTTGACCCCCAAAGGGGTTACCACAGAACTAAGGTCTTTGTCTAGATAATTCAGTAGTATTGGAATCGTTTACTCATTCCGTGATCATTTAGGAAGCACAACTGTACTCATTTGCCTATCTCTCGATATCAGTTGGGTAAACAACTAGCTTTAATCTAACCTTGTAATATTTTCCTATCCCTCAACATCAGTTGGGTAAACAACTAGCTTTAATCTAACCTTGTTATATTTGCCTACACCACGACATCAGTCGGGTAAACAACTAGCTTTAGTCTAACCTTGTAATATTTATTTTATTTTCCTATCTCTCAACATCAGTCGGGTAAACAACTAGCTTAAATCTAGCCTTGTAATATTTGCCTATCCCTCAACATCAGTTGGGTAAGCAACTAGCTTTAATCTAACCTTGTAATATTTGCCTATACCTCGACATCAGTTGGGTAAACAACGAGCTTTAGTATACCGTTGTAATGCTCATTATGGACGTACGCACCCGCCTACTCTGTGCACAGTTTACAGAAACAAAGGTCACACATTATGCTTCACCACATATCTGCGCTGACGATATCTTAAGGACATGCGTACCTTATCATACTCATAAGAGCCATGACTACCCTGCTCTTCTGACCACCTGATAAACTCCTCACAGGTCTGATAGCCAAGTCACCAATGACTCCATATCGACCCAGCTGACGGCGGTACTCTTCCTCATGCTGACCTGTGTGATGTAATCCAGTACATTCGACTTATTCGTGACCTTTTCACAACGAACAAACCCAACAGAACGACCCAACAATTTAGACGGATCAACTCTGACTTATCATGACCGACTTAAGCCAATAACATAACGGAAAACCCTGACAAATAAGTTTACACGAACTGGACTAAGTACACTCGACTGACCACTACTCGTCGCTCAACTCTGATGACGACTTCCACTATAGTTGAGGAAAAGTCAGTCACTACTACCGATAATGAAAGTACAGGTTAACTCCTATTTTCTTCTGTACCTGGAAATTTAGAGGCAAGCAAAGCCAGTGGAGTAAGTTCTGAACCAAGCTGATCAACGTGATGTTGACTGAAATAACCAATCTTTAAATTCCTATGAAACAAAAATACCCAACAGTCAGGATCCGTTCCAAAACATAAATGTTTTTATGTTCCAGTGAAACTTAAATCACGGGGGACGAAGTTTTGAACTAAGAACTTTCCGGAGATATTTCTAGCAACTCTTTTACAAAATACCTTGACAGTCCTCCGAAATAACATGCCATTCTTACCCTTAAAAAATCTCTTTGTTCTCAAATAAAATAAGTGTTATTTTACCGAGTGGCACGCTAGTTATGACTTCAAACAACACGTTCGTTAATTTTAAAAAAATTAATCTTCACTAAATATTTTAGACTGTCATTAGCAGTTCTCCATCCTCCCTCCTTTGTTTTATTCTTTTCCATTCATTGTTAATCTAACGAATTAAATCAATTATTTTGACGTTTCCCTTAAATTGAAGTTTTTTCCACCCCAGAAAACTATGAAAAGAAAAACGCGACGTTAGATCACATCTTCACCTGTGAGCAAATTTGAGTCCAGACACTGGCTCCAGGTCTCCTCGTAGTAATTTCAAAAACGTCGTTTTCCCTTGGCCATTTTCACCGACCTGCATGATAATGGAAGAAGCAGTGGAATTGAAAAAAAAGAGTCAGTCTACATAGCGCAGTTTTTATCTCAAGGAAACTAGATGATAAGTTGGTCAGAATATTGGTTCTCTTCTAGTTAACGAGAAGCAAGCGGCGTAGGATGCTCTTGGAAATTCTAGTAGAAAATAGCTTGTTAAATGCTCCAGCAAAGTGTCTTTGTGATTCAGGAAGGGTCAACTTACCAAAGCTATTCTCGACTCTTGATTTGCAGAAAGGCTCACTTTATTGAGAACCACTTTTCCTTTTTCGTAATAGAAAGTCACCTGAGGGAAACGAAACAGTGAAATTTCTCATTACGCTTCAAGCTGATTACATAATGAGACGGTAACAAGAAAAAGATTAAATGATCACTGGGGCCGGAGAATGTTTTTTTTTTGCCACGCTTTTTTTTTCTAATAAGACTTGATTTTGTAGAGAGCGGTCAAAAAAAATATAGCGAAATCAAGGAGAAAGTCTAACTCTACAGAAGGTCTGAATTTTGATGTGGACAATTCAAGACTTTTGGCACTCTTATAATGATTTCCAGTGCAAGATGCGAGTTTCTCCCTAGTAGCACTAAGGGTTCCCTCTCTCCTACAGCAACCACATCGCAACACAGCACGCAATATAAGGTATGAACAACATAAAAATACACCTTATTTGTAGTGTAGACAACATATCGAAAACAACAATTATATTGTATTGATGGAAAACAGACAGCTTAACGATACCTCATCCAGTTGCAGTAGCGGAGGGGAGAGTTTTTCACACTCGGGAAATCTGAAGCAAAAACGTAATGCATCAAAACAACTGAAAAACCTAATATCAAAAAGAGCCTATCAGTATGTTCCTTAACGTTGGTCTCAAAAAAATTGTTTTGATTTCCCAAACAGGAATGAGTAAAATGCCGATCAAGTAGAAGCCATGAATCAGAGACCACAAGGCATTCGCTTGGAAAAAGAAAAAAAATAAGCTTACTGTAAGCTAACAGTAATTTTTGGACTTACTTGAGTACCACGGGTGGGTCGACTACAACTGGTTGCAGATCAGGTCTAAAAGGACATAAATAAATAGCAACAGTTATTATAATATGACCTCTTAAACAAAAGTACCAGTCGAATTAGACACTCGACGTGTTTTCGAGCATCATCTAACCTGTGCCTTACTGGAAGCTCGTTGTACCTAATAGAAACGTAATCAGACTTTGCAGTCACAACTCAAAAAAAACTTATAAAAGAGCTTGATCACTGGACTTACAGCTTCTCCAGAGCCTTCAGTCTGCTCTGTGCGAGAGATGCTCTTTTAGCGTTATATCTCCATCTGTCAACAAAGGCCTGGAAAAAAAATCCAGAAAAGATCAAGCATCAGTTGCTGGCGGACACGACAAAGGGTCCTAACTTACCGCCCGCCCTACTTTGCACCTCATCTCTACTGACTGGACGCCTAAAACAGCCCTATAATGGCCTGATTCTTGAGGTAAAGTAAACAGTGTTCCAATCGTATTAGCTTTAGAAGGTCTCCAAACACGTTTTACCAGCCACATAAGGTCCTTTTTCAAAGATTCTATGTGCCCTGCTGGTATATCAAGCCAAAACGACGTAAAAGCTGTTCTTTAACTAACCTGAAGATGTTGTCTGTGCATTTGCTGTGCTTCGTACTCTCGCTGCTGATTGGTTAGTTTTTCAGTCATGGTTTTGACAAAATTCTGAGAAATTTAACAAAGAAAAAATGATGAGCTCGCATGTACGACAAATATAATTTATTTTTTCTTATATAATTTTTTTTTCTTATCGAAGCACTGAGTGAGTGCTGCTGAGTGATAATGGTGGAGAAAATATAACCATTAAATTTAACGTTGCACCGTCTACATAGTTACACCGTGGCAAACAAACAAACAAACGAAAACAAGGCATAAACTCGCAGATAGAGAAAAATGTTGTATACCTCATAGTTTCCTCTGTACGACTCCAGTCTCTGGGAGTGCATGTGAATTATGTCGGTAACGACAGCGTCAAGGAAAGTACGGTCATGGGATACCACGAGGAGAGTGCATGGCCAGTTCTACCGACAAAATACAGTCACGTGTTATATTGGTCTTGGGATTCGTGTATTAGTAAGAGTATCATACCGCAGACCATCCACTGCAAGGGAACTTGTTAGACTTCGAAAAGAGTACCCTGATGTCTCATAAATAGAGAAGCACCCTGAGTGAAACTTTGGAACCAAATATAAGTATAAAGCAATTTAAAGATAAGAGTTCCACTTCTAATCATTCGGGGCCAAAGTCTATGTCCCTTGAATGTAGCTTCTAATTAATTACACTGTCTTACACCCTGTAAAGTTACGAATGAAGGGTTTTCTTCTCACCAGAAGGTATTTTTCCAGCCATAAAACGGCCTTTAAATCCAACATATTCGTAGGTTCTACACAAAGTTAAAAAAAAAAAAGTAGCCATAGCAGATAATATGAATAGTTATTAACTAATTCTTCTCAACAAGGCAGTTGTTCATCCATAACAAGTAGCAACACTGAAAAACAAAACCACATCTGTCAAAGCAGCCCTAAAAAGAGCTGTTTTTGGCGACATCAGCGACCGTTTAGAAAAGGTTAAGAGAAGTCCTCATCAGACTGGAGTCGAGTGAGAAGTTGCTTGTTCGTTTTTATGGACCATACTTAACGTATAGGTCAAATAATAGAACACTTATGCAAACACCAAACAAAAGCAGTATTTTCATTAAACACGTGCTGAAAAATGCATACCGTCACACGCATTTACGCACATTTTTGGTTTTGGTTTTTGTTACTCTCCTGACTTAGCCTTTCCCAAAGTGTTTCGCAAAACAAATAACAATCTACAAATTTAAACTAAAACGCTCCTTAAAGGACGTTCCTTAAAGGACGTTGAAGGGAATTATGAGGATTGCAACATTGCATTTTGTGAGAGCAAAACATGGATTCTTTGACATTAGCAAAAATTAAACTCTTTACCCATGTAACAATGAAATTCTTACCGTCAAGGAGTAACAGATCTGGCCTGCAAACAAATGGCACATATATCAAATGAAGCCATGACAACAAACATAAACATATGCTTACTGCCCAGGGACTCATGACTGTTTTCATCTGAGAAAAACACATCATATTGGACTGAACTCGTTTACAATTCTAAAATATGATTTTCTGGTAAGTTAAGTCAAGAGTTGGTTTGACTGAAGAGCTGCATAGTTGAATGAAACTAACCTAAGTTAAACCTTTGAGAAATCTTTGGCTTTATGACAAATTTTAATTCTAAACAGTTTCTCCTTATTTTATTTTAACGAGTTTTTGCTGAAAAAGTTTCATTCTTGAGCTGTCACTAATATCTTGAGCACAGAACTATAATACATTGAGCTATAGAGTCATTGTCATAAAATTAAGTTGGAGAGAGAGTTTAAAATAAAAATTGAGTAATTTTCTTACCTACTAAATAGTGTTCTGGCAAGAGCAAGCCTCATTCTCCAACCACCTGACAGTTCTCTAAAACAAATGAAAACTTTTCATTATGTAAACACAAAACTAATTGAGTGGGCATTCACTCTCCATCAGCTGTGCTGTTCAGTTGATTATTATTCAAAAATCTCTGATTTCTCTGTTGGCTACTTGTAGTCCTAAAATACTGTACACAGAACTAATTCTGAGCATTAATTACTCAGCCATGAATTCAGTCTAATGCTAAAGCAAATGCATAATCATTTTATTAAAAGTAGAGTAGAATGATGTTGTGTATACTGTACTTCGTTTGCTGATTCTGCATTTTTGTTGAAAAACCCAGTCCAGCCAGTATTGATGAAGCTCTGTAAGTGCAATCAATTAGTATTAAAGTTGAGTTACCAAGATGTGCATAGTATCACAGGGTCACCAACAAAGTGGAAATGTTCAGAACCAAGGAGCTAAGAGAAAATTTTCTTTGGTCACAACAAGAAAGGAAAAGGTGAAGGCTTTTCCTCAAGCTTTACACTGCATATTAAAAACATTTAAATACTGACCTTGCAGGAGCCTTGTCTGCCTCTATTTCCTGCATCCTTGCATAAACCTACAGAAAAAAAAATAAAGTGATATACTGGTATTATAAATAGATATATGATATGCTCTTCATGATATGAAACTTTGTGTAATCAAACTCAATGAGGGAATTTATTGCACTTGATAATTACTTTCAACCTCTTGGTTCTCTATTGGTCCATGGTAAATTTGAATGCAACAACTTGGCAACAATTCTCCCAATTTCCACTCAACTTCAGGGTAGAAAATCAAATAAACTTTTAATTTGTAACTTTGTAACTGATCATTAGCTACACACCAGAAAAAAGAAAATTATACAAGATAGCTGCTGTATATTATACACCATACACGTATCAAAATGTGAGTACCTGTGCTAATCTGCTACTAGTGCTGTCAGATGTGTCAGACTTAGGACTGCAAAGAAATGCAACAATAAATGTGTTGGTCAAAAGCGTTTTGAAATCAATCAAAACACTTTGTGCCTTCCATACCCTGACAGTGCAAGAAGTTTCCTCTCTTCCTGTAACAGGTTTTCTCTTTCTGTATCACACTCCAAAACACTCTGTAGAACTTGTGTTTCATCACCTTTTACCTGTAGTTAAATAGTTACAAACTTCAAATCCTTTAGAAAAAAACTAATTTTCATAATGCAGTTGGTTCATTTGAATAACTGAACTCTTTCAAAAGTCTTACTAACCTCTTGTTGTACACACAAAATAGAAATGTGAGAGGGAACAAACAACTCACGCCTGTGCGCAAAAAGACATCAACAATGTTAGTTGTAATCATTTAGTTTTGATACCTACATACAGTCTCTGCAGAAACCCAAAAAACTCTTGCTAGTGTCCATTTAAAATCATGAAATAAATGTTCAGTTTGTAAAGAGCACAATAGTTTACTTTTAACTTCCAAATCGAAAAGAACATGTGACTAATCAACAACCATACAAATCTGTTATAATTGTAAATTGATTGGAAAGAAACTTAATCACAGAATGAGAATTTCTTGGCAATTAAAGTTAATAATGGAAATTAATGTAATCTAAAAAGTTAAGCAATGAAGAAGTAAACTTCTAATTTCTTATTAACTAATTAAAAATGGGTTTCCTATGGCAAAGGCCTTGATTGAGGTGTAGGCTTAATACAGGTTAATTGAGAGGAAAACTGTGACATGACCCTGTGATCACTTAGTGCAAGGTATCTTCTTAATATAGGTTGTGCTATCTATAAGTTTAAGTGCATCTCTAAACAATCATAGTCTGCCTAATGTAAGAAAAACCATTCCTAATGGATCATATCAACAAACTTCTCATAAGCATATAAATAATTATAAAATGTACCTAGAGAGCATTGTAATCAGCGTTGTTTTTCCAATTCCATTCCTACCCACCAAACCATATCTCCTGCCAAAAATTAGGGACAAATCTGCCTCTTTCAGTAACACCCTAAGGATTTTCAAAGAATGAGCTAAGAATGAGCTATATATCTAGTAGGTATTAAATAAACCAACCTTGCAAATGAGAAAGGTTTTGCTAATAGTTAAAGGGGGTCTTTATTACAGCAATAGCATCCCAACAATGACAAATTTCATTTCAGGCTTTCTTTTTACAGCTGCACACTCTAGTTTTTTTAATATAACATAAATGCAATGATCTCTCTCATTGAGATTTTTTTGATTGGCAGTTCAAATATCCGAAAAATATCTAGAACACATTATTTAATAACACAAATAAACAAACACTGAGAGAATAGTTACAAAAATTAATTCTGAAGCTACCAGTAACATGATTGTCAATGTCAGCAGCAACTATTACACATAACTAAGCAACATTTTAAGATCTAGTAAGTGGTGTTCCCTACCCTGTGCCCTCACTCCTACCAACCAAACCCTTGCCCCGACATGAAAGGATATTAGTACAGACAAAAAGAGTAACTGTGTACTAAAATAAATTGCTTAGTAATTAGCAATTATTTACCACTTACCTTTCAGCATAGGAAAGATCAAAGTTCTCTATTCTGATATCACGACTTTTATTACTACCACTGGCTTCTAATTTGTTTTCCCTTTTGTTTGAACTCTGGCTAGCTGATGCATTGTCTATTTGTCTACAGACAAAAAAAAGTATTTAGCTTCAATTGATCTTTCTCTTTCTATTAGCATTTAAATTCTTGTAACCATGCTGTAAATCAAAATCAGTTTCCATATCTCATCCTGTTGATCATTTTTTGCTTGCATTAAATACATGTACAACATGGACTAAATACAGATTACATCAAAACTTGTATGCACGAGTTAGGAATCTGATGTGATTTCAGGATAAATTCAAACTTTCTCCTATAACCATAACAAAACATACATGGCACAAACTTCCTTTGAGCAGGGTTTTTCCAAGTTCTAATACACAGTGTAGATGTTGTACAATTTTTCTACATGTAAGGGAGGAAAATCTTACCTTCCTCTAATTTCATTGATAGGTTCATCTTCTTGTGCACGTTTCTCCTGTTTTGCTTTTAACTTTGCTTCAGCCTTTTGCAGTTTCTTCTGATCCACAACCTAAGTTAACAACAAAAACAGCTTTCTCATAGAGTAAAACAGCTGGGGTCCTGGTAAGGCAGCTTGTCAGTCTTCCTACTTTTAAGGGCTGTGTGGGGCCATGAATGCAGTGTAGGGCTACCAGTATATGTTTCTTTGTGCAGCAGTGTATGTTCACTGTACTTACTGTGTTGTTTTCCCTTTTAACAATCCAAATACTTGATGCATCATCATCTCTCTGTGTTTCTAAATATTAATTTGAAAAGAACAAAGAGAAATGCATTTCACAATAAAACCATATTCCTATTAGTTAAAAAGTTTGTTGATCACATGAATTATTCATAACATTAACCAGTGATTGTATACATGGTATGCAATTCATGGTCACAGGAGTATCACAGTTATGTGTATACTTTTGATAGTTTCTGCCAGTTCCTGTTCACCACACCAGAACACTAACCCAATTTTTTTGCCATTTCTTGCAGATTAACAGGAGCATGGAGTAACTTGTGGGCATTTTGATCTGTGTCAGTACCACTGCAACCATCACTACAAAAAGTGAAGAAAAATTAATACGAATGTAAATATATAAGGTACTGAGACTTTTTGCTATTTAGTGGAGGTGATGCTGATAAAATTTAATACTATTTCAGTAAAATTAATTTGACAACTAATGGTTACAGCATTGGTCTGAAATAATAATTCAAAATAACTAAAAGAAAGAAACATATTAAAGTACATACCCTTTCAATGTGCTTAACAGCTGATTACACAAGTCAATTATTTCATCTTCTCCTTCATCGCCAGCCACCTCAGCCAATATACTTCCAACGGCATCATAAATATCCTCGCCACTCTCAAAATCATCCACTCCACTTTCGAGAATATCTATTTAACAATCGGTGAAAGTTAACTTATTTTGATCCATGAATGGCCAAATTTCCCTCTGACAAAGTGTCCGGTGCGTAAATAACTCTCAGGACCATTTGTAGGTACGAGTTTGACCGCTTGACATTAGAAAAGCTAAGTAACTTGAAAGCCTTCATGTAATAACCACTTACAAATACTTTTTCAGGTAATAAAGTTATCCTCGATCTAAAACCAGTTACGCATATATAAACATACCAGAACGATTAAATGAGAAATCCTTCGATCACACGTTCTATTTCACTAAATTAAAACAAAGTGAACACGCAATTGTTGCCCTCTATCCCAACAGTCAGTACTTCTACCAAATGATGACTCGGCAGAAAAGATCAGTAAAGTAAATACCTGTCACATATTTAAAAAGTTCGTCGTCGATTGCCGGAAATTTGTCTGTAAGAATTCGCCGGCAGGTAGCAATTCCGTTCGCCATGTTGTTTCACCATCAGCTGAGCCCGCAAAAAGAAAGCGACAGAAAAGAAGCTGTACAAGGAAATATGTCATGAGATACATCGCGAAAATTCCTCTCTAGTTCAGAAGGGGACTGTTCTGAGGCAATACTTATCAAAGATCTCCATGTTAAAGCCGGGTACGGGCAATAGTTACATTCGTTCCTTAAATTTTTTCAGCAAGATATCGTAATTAATGCATCTCCGCCTCGTTCTATAGTGGATAACTCAGGGTGGTGTACGCTGGTAATTCGAGTGGTGACCCCATCGGCTCGGAAAGAAAACTGACACTTTATAGAGCAACGGGTCGAGACACTGACATTCATCTGATAAATTTATGTTTTAGCCTGCTTCTCTGCCTACACGTCAAAGAGAATACTTTTGAGATTACAGCCGAGGCATTGAAAGATTATAGCTGATGCAGAAGACAAATGCCGAAGAGGCCGGCAAATCAATACATCGGTAAATGTAAACGAAACATAACAAGGTAGAAGATCCGATCAGGCCGAAAGTAAACCAGTCAAGAAAGCAATCCAAGACCCTGGATCGAAAGGACAGCTCTACTGGAAAAAAAGAGGTGCCATGTCCCGCAAATTGAGAAAATGGAAAAAATTGCATCTGAATTTACTTTTATCGCTTTTGAACTCTGATTTGTGAATATGCCTAACAGAAATGAAGTTCCTTTGGTCCGTTCTCCTGTTTCAATCTGGAGTTCAGCACGATGTCTCCCACGTTTAAATTAAGCATGTTTATTATCTTTTGAGTATAAGTATGTAGTGACAACATGTTACAGAAAACATTAGATTATAATTGAGTTGAGGCAATTCACGCTGGTAAACTTCAGAGAGAGAGAGAGAGGACAGTGTATTATGTTAAACTAAATATCAAACGATATGTAACTGAACCCCTATGATTTATTCTATAACATTTTATTGTGGTTGGCCTAACAAATGAACACGGACCACAAAGAGTTAATGGGTTTCAAAGAAGCCTACGATGTCGTCTACCCTCAGAACTCAGCTTATTCCGTTTTAGAGTCGACAGTGTCTTCAACACTACTCTCCATCACACCCTGTGACTCCAGGCAGTACCGAGTACAGAGATCTTCTGTGTCTGACTCCTCTTCCATCAGCGTCTTCAACGCCATTCCAAGAGCACAATATGTGGCACCACTTCCCTGAGCCCCTACCCAAGTACACAGTGTAGCAAAGCACTTGTCAAACAGGCTTGTTTTATCGCGCTCAATATGCTCCCGATGTTTTTCGTTTAGCAGGATGCGGCACAATTGCTCCCACTTGTTACCGACATCATGCGCCAGGCGCAGTTGATCATCATGAGACACCACACCAGGTTTAAACTGCAATTGGGCTGTAGGGATAGTAAAAATTGGTTTACCAACACAGTTACGGTAATTCAATCGTTTTACTAAAAAAGATGAGTAAATAGGCCATCTAATCAACACGGGACACGGAAATAATATTGACATTCAGTTGAATGGAAAAATTAACTGTCAATTGCAACATTCTGGAATTACTCTGGCTAGCTTTGAGCGCCACCGGCTCAAATTCAAAGGCAAAGTGCATTTTTCAAATGTGTTATTAATCAGGGCTTTGTGAAAGTCTCATCCATGCAAAGCAAGAGAGTTGTAATAATTAATCCCCAAATAACAAATTATTTACCTGGATTCTGATTTGTGCAGCGTAAATGCTATTGAACAAAAATAAATAAATTCATTAAACCCAGATCTGGATAAATAATATGACCAAGCTTTCACGTGATACATTTCAATCCAATCAACAAAATCCACCGTCTTGTAACTCAAAATCGTTCAGCAGAAAAAAAGTCTGTCTAACGGTAAACAGGCAACTGATTACACAAACTAGGATGATTTATGATCACCTCCAAGACCAAGATTATACAATCAATCAAAACTAAGGCTATACAATCAAACAACAAATCAAAATCACTGAGTAATTCACTAAATACATATATCAATTCAGATATTTCTTATGAAAAAAACTACAAACGGCATGTAAGTTTCTTTTGTATCATACAGTGACTTTGGAAAACTGTTGTGTCTTGATGGATGGTGTTTTTCAAAAATGTCAAACTTGATGTTCTTAATGAACAAATCATGTGGTCCTCTCTTATAATGCCACCTTGTCCAAGTCTCCCAGATTTTTTCGCTTTTTCCCTTCACCACTAATCCCCCCCACCCCCAACACCTATTTAGTAACTGAACACATACTAGAGGCCAGTCCAAAATCCCTCTCTTTTCCATGTAATTTTGTGCAGAGAAATTCGGTTGATTTTGGTCACATTACCTAATCCTGATTATTGGTCAACTGAATCGTTAATAGTTCCCATACCTTAACCCAAGGCTTAAGTTTTTCCTCGCTGAGCAAACAACTTGATGATCTGTAGGTTCTGTCACACATCAAAGGCTTTGATACTAAAGGAATGAAGTGTGAACAGTCAGGATGAGGACATGAGCGTGCACGATGCCATGAACAGCCCTCGGGATCTTCGTCTTCACCCATACAGAGGTCACATCGGGCACACAGCTCCCACTCCATGGAGTGTAACCACGGATGCTGCACACAAAGAGACTTCAGGGTACGTTCTACAGTACTGAAAAACAAAGCAACTTTAACAAAGTAAATCTGCACCACTTTGTCACCGACGAATTTTTAGACGAGATGTTTTGGCTTACACTATTTCTGTTTAACGCTCACTATAGGATACGAATTGTATGCTGAGCCTGTGTTTAAACACTCAATACATCTCCTATACTAAGTTGCTAACTCAGAATAAAATTCGCGCTACTCGCTCTTTGAACCACACCAGTTCTTTTTCAACAAAAAAAGCTCTTTGGTATCAGTTTAAACAGAATGCGAGGAACTACCTTCTTTGTGCTTGTGTATCACATCATTAAGTGTGATTTACACCTTGAAATATTGTTACTTCAAATGTTTTATCAGTATAAAAACTGGAAAGGGGGACTCAACTAAACTTCCCGTTTCCATTGCTATTTTCAATTTTTTATGTAATGCTTTAAAAATTACGAAGTGTTGATCATACAGTCCGATCTTCCAGTTGAGGGTTCAGACGTTGTGCTCTAACAGGACTAATTCGCATTCGATGATGAACTTTTTGCTCATGTGAAGTACAAGATTCCGAATTAAATTTATTTTTGCACATCACCAACCTGCAAATATGTCGGCAGATGGAAGCCGTTTCTCGTCCATCCTCAGACTTCCCTTCAAAAACCAGATGAACCGTTATGACACTCTTGAAGCAGGCTAACGTCAAGTTGTAGTTGCTTTGCTGGCCGACGACAAATCGAGCTGCGTTTGCGAAAAGCTTCGGTGGAGTGGCAGGACACTCGGGAGAACTTTGTTGACCAAATAATACCAGGAATCTGCAGAACACGCCATAAGGAACATATCCAGAGGAAAATTTAATGTAAATTGGAGCAAGCTTCCCTTGACCAATCAGTCCAGATATATCTTTGTCTGGTTTAGCAGTCAGCATCGAGGGCACAAGATAGACCACTTTGCCATTTTGCTCATTCCAGTGGCAGATGAGGTTGCTTTTTTCCATAATTAAAATTAGCATTTCTTGGGAGAGTTCAAGTTTAAGTTTCTTACATGTATATTCAATAAGTTCATTAGACAAGATCCCGTCTTTAGCAAGAATCCGGCGATGTTCCCGAATTTTCATTGTCTCTCTCTTGCCGGGGACACTTCTAAGAATTTCACAGAATACATTGATCAGCCATTGCGGGTCGAGTATCACCAGACTGTTGAACAGATTTGACTCGTCTTTAAAGTAGAGAACTGCGCCGCAATCGCACAAGAAATGCAACAATTCCTCGCTATCTTCTTCCACTTCGAATTGGCAAATTTTGTTAGAAACTTCTCTGAATTCCATTCTGGTGATGTGCTTGTATCCTTTGCTGGCTAAGTGATGAAGTAACTTCTCAACGTGGAGCCACTGCAACGGTATGAGTTGCTTGGTGTGAGGCAATGTTGACGCCACCGAGATAATTTTCTCTCTGAGTCTGTGGACATTTTGATCCTCATGTTTAAAAGGCTGTCCAGCACGAGTGTTGTCGACAACAAATTTGTCGTCGACGATATGGGATGAAAAGGCCTTGCCTTCAAAACTCTCGAGGATCTTATTCATGGCATCCCATGGATCTCCAGTCACCTTATCGGCATGAGTGCCGACCAAGATGACCGGAGGTTGGGCAAAACCCTGAGGATCTACGGCATTATGGGTAGGATTCCGAAAAGAATGAACCAAATCCATCCACTTCATGAGATGATCAAGACTAGACTCGCCCTTAGTCGCTGTCCTGACCCCCGGCTGTTTGGTTTGCTTTGCACTGTTATCTGCCCTTTGTAACAAGTCTTTGCTCAAGTCAGACACAAGTAGATACACAGCTTCACGCGACATAAAGATGGGATGTAAGGCGTGATATAGGGATTGGCCTGCGAAGTCCCAGATCACTGGCCATATCTGATCTGCACCAACTGAGTGAGTGCCTTGTTGAAGCATACGTTCGACCAAGATCATGATCTCCTGCGACAGATGACGGAAAGGTTTGGGGTCATTGGCGAACACTTCATCTTGGAGGACTGGTGAAGTGGGTTCGCCAGAGGTATTTTTCTCCCCCGCTGATAAAAAAAAAACATTTGAAAAGCAATTTGAGTCAAACAACTCCGTCCACATCAACATGATGGTACACTAACTTAAATCGCACACGATAACCAAGTAAAGACGTCTAGCCCAAAATTACGAACACTGTATACGGATAAGCTTAATAATACAAGTTTAACTTGGTACCGGACCGTCATATTTGACTCACCACGCTAACCTCCATTAAGGGGTTAAATTGCTATTCAAAAGATAAAATTTGGGGTCACAAAACCAATCCACAATGTTCGCCGAATAGAGATCTTTCGGGACCGAAGTTGCTCGAAGACGTTTAACATTACTCTAGATCTGACACTTACTGAAAGGGACTAGAGACCTGCATGCATACAGCTGACCTAGGATTAATGCTAACCGGCTTGAGGACACCTAGGAGTACACCAATGTTACCTCTCACATGACGAGATCTACACATCAATACATAGCCTGATCTACAAAGTTAAGCTCTTTAACACTTACATCCAATATATGGGAACGTGGGCGAGCCTCGAGAGCTCCTGTCACCACTTGATGAACTTTCGTAACCACTGGATGGAATACTGGTCCGTGAAAGATTTTGTTTAAAATCAAACTCTTCTTCGCTATGCACCCCATTAGACAGACTTTGTTTAGTTTCAGGTTTTTCATCATGCACATCAGAAGCAGCAGATTTACTGAGTGTCTTTTCTAGTTCGTCATGGCCTCCTGACAACTGCCTGGCTACCAACTGAGCAGTATTGTGATCAAACATAGTGGTAGGTAACTCATTAGAAACGGATTCTGGTTTCCATGGCTTTTTTCCGACTCTTAACAAAGGTGGGTCCATCTGCACACCTGCTGTGCTGACCTCATCTCTGTTAAACTTGTCACCCATGAGTGATCTCTTAACACTTGTCTTGCCTGCATGGTCTTGTCCAATCAGCATGACTCTCACACGAATGTCGCATGTTTTACCATGCTCTAAAGCTCTGCTGTAAGCCTCTTTGGCTTTAATACCTCTTGCTAGAATGGCAGGTGGAATGAGGCCTGCAGGAGAGAAAAATACCCTCTCCAGCTCTGTCTCTAACTCATTAACTTTAACTTTACAAGGCAATGACTGCTAATGTAACCTGTAAATGTAACTGCGGCGCTGTGCTGACAGGAAATTGGTTCAGTCAGGGCACTAAGCTTGTGTAGGAAATTTCACAGGCTAAAAGTTTAGGCAGCAACCCTAGGTCAACACAGAGCTGCTTTTCATGTATGCTGAGGAAGATTTAAGCCTGTCTGAGAAACTAGAGATCTGGTTTATAACTTCATTAAAACTGAAAAGTCACTAAGAAACTGAAAGCAACATTAAGTGATAAAGGGAATTGCCTTCGAACAACTGGGCCCTGGTTTATAACTTCATTAAAACTGAAAAGTCACTAAGAAACTGAAAGCAACATTAAGTGATAGGGAATTGACATCCCATGTAATTTTCTGTGCAAATACCAACTTCAAGAGGATAATCAACTCATAACCAAGCACAATTTCAGAAGTTTTAGACTACTACCCAAACATTCAAAGCACAATTTAAATCAATGACTCAGAGCTGGTGTATTATAAATTATGGCTTCTCCTGGCATGCTCCTAAGTGAGGAGTAGAAGAGTACTGTTCAACAAACTGAAGAAAGGTTCTAAAAGTGATTAGGAAAACAGGGCTGACATCTTCAAGTGCAACCATTCAGGGGAAATTTCTAAAACACCAAGCCTTACCTTTTTGCTCTTTATTAAATTTCACTGGCTTGGTGAGAATTGTATCTAGAAAACCACTTGGGCGTTTATAGTGCTGAAAGATAAATATCATCGTTTATTACTAACAATTTAGAATTACCATCAATTATACACATCACTCTGTGCCCTTAGCTATTACCTTATGCTGCATTTTCATCTTTCTTCTGAAATAATGAAATAATGCTTTTCTTTATTAAATAATTCCTTTTCCTTTACTAACTTTCAACTACACTACTCATATCTTTAATTCAGTACTATACTGTACACGTACATGTTGGTCAAACTGTCCAAAGTATGTTCAACATAAGAAACCAGAAGTAGCCTGATGCACATTGACTATCTGGAGTATGACTAAACTATATGACTTACAAATATTTAGACTTCCAAATATTGTACATCGTTGTGCTTCTCTGATTAACTTTTGGTATGTCATTGGCACTCACCTCTACCAATTGAGACAGGCTGCCAAAGTGTGACTTCTTATCAATGTTGTATAACTGTTTCTTGTACGACACTCGATAGGACTGATGCTTGCCTTGAAGCCTACAAGCAAAAACACAAACAGCTTGCAATGACATACAGTATGCAAGTGCATGGGATCAAATTGGACACCAATGGCTCACAAAAATAAAGCCTTATAAAAAGGATGGTTGTACTAGCTCCATTACTAAAAGCTTGTTGTTTCTGACCATCAATCTTAAGCAATCAGTTGGAGCATAAAAGTTGATTAAGTTGTAATTAATATATAAATGTACAATTTGCATGCACTAATGCTGAAGTTACAATACACAATCGTCTGGTTTAGAATACCATCAAAAAAATATTAGCCAGTCCTTTTCAAGTTGAAACACTCCTCAAGTCATACAACTTGATGGGTCAATCACTACCATCAAAAATAAGTTTCAATCAGTGAGACTGAAGGACCTGAGTATGCAGAACAGAATCAAGGCACATTACAGGGATAAACTACAGCTGCTGTACTTTCTTGAATACAGATATTCACTGTTCAGAACAAACCAACAACACCTAACACCACCTACTTCTGATCAAATTATTATGATAGTAAACTTTATGGACTGTGATTCCCTGAAAATTCCAGGAATATATGAGAGAGCTGTTCAACAGAAGAGAACTGAGGAAAACGTTCCAATAGAGTTATAATAACTATTAGAAACCAACCTATCACAGCCAAACATAAATGTAACACATTACAAGATGACACTTAGCTTGTCAAATTAATCATAAAAAGAAGACTAGCACTAAGCAGTTAAAAAGAGTGATCCACACTTCAGGTGTATACATTGTGAGACACTAATTACTTTTGATTTCTTATAGTTGTCATCATGGGTTAATAACTCACCAGACCAAGAGTGCATAATCTCCTGGAGAATTAGCACTATCTCTTATAAGGAACATTCCATCAGTCACATGGCCTAGCTCCTTCACAACAGATTCTATTTCTTTCTCTGACATTTTGCCAACATACCAACTGAGTAAAAAAGAAAGGACAGAGACAAGATTTTATCACATTGAATAACTGGTGATAATGTATGTTTGTATCAAAAAACCATAGTTATCCTAAAAGTTATATTTACCCTTAATTTGGAACCTGAGGTAATTATTTAAAATTTCAATGCAGGTTGAGATGAGAAATGATCATAACCAGAACAGATCAGTTTTTAAATCTTGGCATAACATATAACATAGACTTTGTATTGACATGAGAAGTTGATCAGGAAAATTTTTTTGGCTTTAAATAGTGGCACAATGGACCCCAACCCAACCCTAACTACTCCCATCCCTCAAATTTGCATCAGACCCTTGTAAAGTGAACAGGTGTTGCCATTAATGTAATTTAATACCAGACCCTTAAAGTTTCTTAGGACCTTTTCAAATTCTCCTTTGATTCAGTGTTGACAGTACACTAACTAGTCCACAGTACACTAACTAGTCCACAGACTATATTAAAAACATGAACATACTCTTCATTCCATGGGTGAACTTGAACATGAATAGTTGAGTTGTTCAAAATACGATGGTCTCTCAGAGAAAAATTGTGCATCACCAATGCCTTGTCATTTAGTCTTATTAATTGAGAGTCAACAGGCACTCCACTCAATTCTTCAACTTGTTTCTTCAAATAATCCACTTGATAGAAAGGACTTGTCAGAAGTGAGAACGTCTTTTGTCCAACTACCACAGTAAGATTAATTTTTAGGTCTGGATTTGTGCAAAGACGACCTCTTTGTAAGTTATTGTCTGAGGATAATTAAAATGTAAAAGAAATGACAATTTCATACATCAAATCTTGTACAAAGTTCCCAGGAAACACATTTTATGGAGAAATTTTCACATAACCAGGATACCATTAATTTTAAGAACTTCTGTCACCTCGAACTGTGAATTTCTTTCACAAACACATTATAAACTAATTGAAAACTTAAAAGCTTGAAGTTCCTGAATCTTAAAAAAGACAAACTCTTCACAATATAATAAGTGTCTTGAGCAAGGAAATCAGGCAGGGACATTTCCTATTTTAAGAGAACAAGGAGTTTAAACAAACTCACATTTGCAAATTACTAAAGGTGAAAATAAATAGTCTAGAAATTAACACTGTGCAACCAACTTGCAGAAAAAAAAAATATCCTAATTTTATCAATGAATGCATTATTGTAAATACAAGTTAACAGCAAACACAAAAGAATAAACTGAACCTGTGAATAAAGTGGAGCTGCAACAGAGTAGTTACATTGTGTATGTGACAATACTTTACTTCATTTCATTGCAATGATTGTGTGATCATGATTACCTTCCCGTGTAATCAATGAGGAATCATTTGCACTTCCATTAGTAACCTCTTGTCTGCATACAGGCTTGGTCAGTTTGATTGGCGGCCAAAATCCTGTGTTTTTTTGGTAGAACTGCAAGAGAAAGATAAATAATGATACATCTGGTGTATCAACCCTTCATAAACACATTTAATAGGAACTGCATGCTTCACATGTTTCTTCCACCTACTTTAATTGAGAAATTGCCTCAGTTTGGATAATTTTAATAACATAAAAGGAAACATTAAGTCACAGAATCTTTAAAGCCCTCAATCAGCTTAATTTTGTTAATACCAAAGAAACATAAAGTGATTTCAGATGTTATTTTCTTTGCATTTAGTGCAAAAAGTCCTTCTCCATGGTGCAGGATATGCGTTCAAGAAAGATTTTAATTGTATGGTTCATAATTTCACTGAGGGGTTGCAAGTTCATTAAGATGTAAATTTCAACTTACCAACCAACTGCCCTGTTTCTTAGCATACATGAAAAAACTCTATTTTTCCCAAATTATCTTGGTCAAAGATGTACCCTCTCCCTCCCCCCTACCCTTCCCCTATTGGGAGTTGTGCCTTAGTTGCTAAAGATGCAGGTTGTATTCTCAATTCACCTTGCCATCTCCTTTCTACAGTACTGAGTTTAGCTTATAGAGTATTAATTAGAAGATGTAAGTATATACTGTAAGGTAAAGATGTGCTGAGTTTAGTGTATAGAATGCTGATTAGAAGATGTAAGTATGTACTACAATGTGGAGACAAATTAAAATTATTTTCATTTAACTTTAATGAGGTTGTCTGAAGGTGAAAGAAGAATTTTATATAAAAGTCACCTATCTGACCCTAAGGCAATTTATATGTTATTAGTAGCTCGTTTGTTGTGAGTTGGGTTAGTATGTGGGTGAAAGTAGTTTTTAACTTAACTAGGAATTAACTAAACTGACAGCCCTGTAAATTTAAGTCTTCAACTCTCAATTTGCTATAGCTTTGACTGAAACTTGGTAATCTACAGTGTTTGATACTAACTGTCACCATGTCAGTGATGCTGTCAAAATACTCTTGTTCATCAACAGTAAATTGCATCATCCTGCTCCAGGACACCTTCCAGTACTTGGTTTTGCCATCAATACTATGACATCAAAGAGCAAAACAACCCTTCTTTCAAAGTTGAAATATTATTTCAGAATCTATGAAGAGTGATGAATTCAAAAGTAATAAATTGATGGGGGGAGGGGTAACTAAGTATGTATTATCATGAATAAATGTTCATTGATATTAATCAGTAACTGGGGGTAGATTGCAGTACAGCCAAACTTACCACACAAAAATGACATAATCTCCAGGATAATGTAAACTCTCTTTAACAAGGAATTGTCCACTACTTGCAGAGGACATGATCTGTTCTGCTTGGTCGCGGGATATTTTCCCATGGAACCAGCTGTATTGAAAGCAGCAAAGAAAACAAATTTATAATAAATTAATACAGAAGGTATGTGCATGTACTGTACCTTACATAAAACTGCTTTACCCTTTTTGCTTTTCATAATCCAACCTCTACACTAGTAATTGCTATAGGTTTTTAGTTGAGGTCTATGTTACAACTACAAAAAATTCTACTTTCTTTTGGTTTCATCTTTAATTTAGCCCAACATTTTTTCTTTTTCTCTATTTTATCAACTTGAATTGGATGAATGATATAAATTGGATGAAAATTCATTTGCCTGTAGCATATGAAAGACAAATGTATAAAACGTTTAAAACATTGTGCAAACAATTGAATGATACTCAGTAAAGTAAACAACTGTCACCATGTGAAAAAAGATGGATGGACAGTTGAATGAATTAGTGAGCACATGAGCAAGGCAATGAAAACATCTAGCACTATAAATAAATGGAATCAGAGATGAAAGACCGATTGAATGTCAATGAATGAACGAAGTACTTAATGAATGAAAAAAATTTAACATGCAAGCAAGCTCATGTCTGTTTATTTTAGCGCGGAATACCCGGCCACTTTGGTCCGCCTCACTAACATGTCGGGAGGCTTTGAAGATCGAGGCATAACACTATAGACGCTATTCTCATTGAATGACATGTAAATGAGTGGCCGGGTATTCTGCAGTTTCCCCCAAGTAATCATTATACCCATAGTTGGTCATGTCAATGATCAAATAATACATTACCACCTTTCTAATAAATTGGAAAATGCACCAAATACGACCGCATCTTGAATTCTCGTAAATTTACATATGAAAGAAGATCACGTACTTGTTCTGTTCGCACAATCATATAACATCAATTTTTCAAACTTACTTTTTCTCCCACGGATGGATTTGCACGTACACAACCGAACCATGATTGACACCAGATTCGTCCAAACTGTTGAAGGATTCCCCTAAGCATTTGTTCTTGTAAGGCGAGTCTATTTGGCGCAGAAACAGACTGTACTCTGGAACACCAAGCATTGCCCGACTCGATAACTTTCTCCTCAGATCGTTGATGGTGGAAGATTGTCCTTTTTCAAGAGTTACCTTCAGAACTCTTCCTGTTTCGGTCACAGCATTGATAAAAAATAAATTTACTGAGTTCAACTGTTTGTAGGCCACATAAATGAGAGAGTCTGGTTTAATCAAATCCCCCACACAAATGCTACGACGTTCGATCTCTTCGCCATCTCTTTTCTGTGAAAGACGCTGAGAGGCAGGAGAAAGTCCAGTAGCTTGAGATATTATTTCTTTTAGCACGTCAACAGTGTCTGAAGATTGCACCTTCACAGCAATTGTCTTTGCGTTCAATAAATTGACAAGAACACGCATCATGAAACCTGCTAAAATTCGACAAAAACCGAAACAAAATCCCAGATGAATCCGTCAAATCACTTGAAAATTATATCTGAGCTTTTCAATTGTCCCTTTAGCTTATTGTAAAGCACCTGTTTGATTTTAAGCGATGATCAAGGAAAAAAATTAAAGAGAATCGTCGACAACCACGGCAATCTTCCGCAAATCAGTATACCACATGAAGAAGCGGAACTCAAAGTGACGTCACATTTCCGTTTCTGGGAAAAGAACGAATTCTTCCGGTGGTAATACAGGTGATTCACGTGCTTTTTTCTTTTACTTGCCTTTTTTCTCTCCGATCTCTCTTCAACAATCAGTAATAAAATCAACGGGAAAAGTTAGGTTTCCAATTAAACAGCGCATTCGTTTGGTGGGAGGGAAGGGAGGGTAGGTGGAAGGGTGCCACAAATAATACTGCATTCTTGTCTGGTAAACCAAGAATCTGTTCCAAATCCAGTCTCTCTTTATCAGTAAAGTATGTCTTTGTTTATGAATTAATGCCCGACTAATGATTTGACAATAATTATGCTCTAACTCTTTCGTTTATGAGGACCGAGCCTTCACCACATAACCTTGGAAGACTGATAATGAGAGAATCTCGAACTTCTTGAGCCCGCGATTTTCACGACCGGACGGCTGAAAACATATCATACTACTTCCCTGGAGTAAATGTGAGGAAGGAGTAAAAGTGGTATAAATATGGATTTGGATAGCAAAATTTCTGCCCTAAAAGATTTTACTTCCTTTGGATCTTCATCGAAAAATGACTCATCTTCCTCACGGATCAATCAAAGTTCGAATTCTTCTTCCTCGAATGGATGGGGAAATTGGATTGCTAAAGGAGAGAAGGACCCATTTTTACCCTCTTTGGTTGGTTTTGACTGTATATTTTTTTTTCTCCTTTTGGTTTTTGAACATCTTTTATATCAGTCAGTAGTTCGATGATATAAATCATATCACCTTGAACTTAGCTTCAATGGCAGAGCAATCAAAGCTACATAGATACAAAATGATAATCCTGCAAAATATGACACGTCATTATTAGCTCTAGGCCTTCCAAGGGTTTTGAACGACTAGCGACGTGACCCTGGAAACGTTATCATCAGCGAAAGAATACAAAATTACCGCGCTAACGCTCAGCGATGCACGCGATGAGTATTATAAATCAAAAGGACAGGCCGGAACACTTCACCTGCAGCAATGTCCATGTAGACATCTGGCTTTAAGACTATTAATGTAAGATTTGTGAGAAAATTCATTTTATTTTATTTTTTATTTTATTTTTATTGAGTTGGAAATCTCGTTAGTTTCAGAGTACAAGAGACCCTTATAATTATTGAAAGAAAATCCCATGACAGGATTATCTGTATCTATGGGCTTTAAGTGACTTACTTACTTTCACTATTGTTTACAGTCTAAAACACAACGAATCACAGGTTTCTTTCTGTTGCTGCTGTTAGGAATCTTCTGCTTTGTAATGGTAAGTTATAAGGATTAAGCTGAAAATGGTTTAAATTGACTTTTTTATATTTAAAAAAAACATATAAACATCACATACATGCACTTTGCATGCAGTGGCCTAAATTTGAAATAGCATCTCTATAGTTCTCATCAAGAAATACTTCGAATGGCCAGTAAGTTTGTATAATCATTTGCAAACCCTCTCTCTCCTAAGTTTTTTTCCCATGCTGCCTTGACTTGCTAAATATACCTTCCCCCTTCAGTGATAAGGTATGATTTAATTTTAATTCATTAGAAATTGAACAAAGCTGGTTAAAAATAAAGAGGTATATCAGATCAAGATTATGTACACCTCTCCACAGGTTGTTCTCTAGCAAATAACTGTAATTTATTTTTTCACTTATTGCTGTCAAGTTAATAATTGTATTCAGCAATACTCCTTACCCTCTACACCCTAACATCAGTATTCATATCCACCAAGCATTTCTTTTCACATTAACCGTCATGGTAATGACAAGGAGAATATGTGTGACAGTCAGGAGCTTCTTAAATTGGTGATCATGCCCTTTATTCTCATGACCTTTACATTTGATTTGAGGATGACATTGTAAGGAGAAATAAAAAGCCAGTTGCTCTTAGGGGTTAAAGGGTTACAAGTATCTTACTAGAAAATTAAACATGGAGCAGTCACCCTTCACTTTTTTCTGCAAATTTTTGTTTCTGTGTCATATAACTGTTCTGGTTTCTTAACTCATTAAAGGCTGGTCTTATTGCACCTGTTATGCTGTTAAAGGCAAGAAAATTTGTCCTTCTCTACACAATGGGAAGTTTGTTTACCATAGGAAGGTAATGTTTTAAATGTATCTCAAGCCCTTTGCTCCTTGTTAATCAGTTGGGTACACCCTTAAAATTGATTTTTTTACTATGAAAGGTTTTAATTAAGAGTTTCACTTGAGTCAGTGATCAGGTTATGTGTGACTTACTTCTGATTGCAAGGGAATATATGATATTCACATGGCCAGAATTTTATGTTCAATTATTGTCATAGTATTGCTCAGAAGTCCATTAAAGCAAAAGAGTGAGACATATCAGCAACTTGAGAATATAAATTTAAAACCCCACATTGCTATTGGAAATGTAATTTTCTGTTTGTCACATATATGGTAATTTGATATTTAGATAAAAACAATTTCAAAATGTATTTTATGGGAACCAAATTCAAAGTCCTGCTGCTTATTAACTCAGAGTGTAGAAATGGTACTTCAACTGTAAATTTAAAATAAATTAAAATAATTCTTTCTCCAGAAAACATTTAGTGTCTTTAAACAAAATTGAATTCTATGGCTTTGTGATATTTTGAAATAAAGAAGCCCTATGTATTAAGTAAAGCTGAAACTTTGATAAACTCAATGATGTTGACAAAATTGTTGTCTTCAAATGTGAAAATATAAATTGTTATTTCACTGAGCAAGAGGAAGGTATCATGTTCTTTAAACAGGTGAAATTTTGGTATTTCATTTAATATTTATGTAATGAACATGTTTTGTACAGATATGTATTGTCAAAAAGCAGCTAAAGATTCATGTGTGTCTGGTCTTATGTTTGTAGTCAGTCATGTGACTATTAAAGGCCTCCTTATCTTTTCTACTGACATTTGAATCAGTGTCCAAATTAATTTCAACCAAGATTTCTTTAGTGAGGTTTACATCACATCCTTTTCTTTGGTTTCAGTTTTTCTTTACTCTGGGGTCCAGTCAATCATGTCAAACATCTGTGTTCACTTGAAAGGCTTCCTTTTACTGCTGCTTACTTTGGATCAATGTTTGCAACACTTTACATGGCCATGATTGTAAGTTGTGATGCCTGTTCAATAAAAAAATTATTTCCCTGTTGAATATAGATAAATCAATTATTAACAGATTATCTAAAAGTATAATTCTTAGGTGTCTTCGTTGATCATCTAACATAGATGAGATTAGGTTACTCTCACATTCAAGCAAATTTGTATTCAAATACTGACAGACTGATATACCAATTCTTTTGTCAGGTGAAGAGTACATTGTTGACAGCAGTTTGTGCTTTGGTCCAAATTCTTGCCCTAGTATGGTAAGTTTGGTTCAGATATTATTCTGAGCCACTGGATTGTAATGTTCCCCAATGAAGCACATTGTGCAGAAGGCTAAACAAAGTTAAAACAAATGGCGGTGTTTATTCAGAAACTTATGGGAAGTAAAGCTAAATAAAATGATGTCTTGTTTAAATGTAACTGACTTGTTTATTCACAATGTAGTATTTAGTTAACATTAACCAGGCAATTTTTGCTTCTCTGTTTTTTTCTATAGGTACTTTGTCAGCTATATTCCTGGTGGGACAACAGGCATGAAATTTTTTACCAAGCTTTTCTCATCTGCCGTAACAAAAACAGTTTCTAGCACCCTTCCTGTCTAGAAATGGATATTTTTTAGTCAGCTTGACACCCTGCCCCAGAGGTAGTAAATGGACTGCAGATTAGGAATTTAATTTGTCCGATGATATGTAATTTCACCAACGGAGCATGGTAGCTCTGTATCCATTTGCGGAATGGTTTAATTGGTCAGGGGGTTGCTGTGACAAATTTGGTACGTGAGATGTCGGTATTATGGATGGAAAGATGGCTGCTGACCGACAAGAAGGCATGTTTACCTAACTTTCAAGGTGAGGGCTGTTGGTCGCTAAGGACAATAACTTCCCTGAGCGTGGAAATCAAACGAATACCCTCGTGAAAACTGCGTCGAGATGACAAAGACTCAAGAAAAGTGTAATTTGAACGAGGCCTGGGATTGAATTTCAGCAGATGATGTCTATCACGCATAAAGGTCATTCACCATACGCGTGTCACGTCCGCCATTTAGCTCATCGCTAAGTTGCAAAGTATTTACAAACGATCTAGATCTGGCGGCGGCTGCAATACCGGTGACTTCGTACAAACTCATTCATAAAGTAAAAAACGATGACTTTAATTATAAAGAAAACGCCGATTATTATCTTTTATGAGCCAAAGGTTTTTAAATCAGTTGAGGTACAGGGAGGGGCAAGGAAGATTTAGGTTTTCCCATCTATAGGAGTACATCGTTGGATTGAAGAAGAAATCCAACATAATTAAGAGGTAAGTTCCTAAAGAAAATGTGGTGCTGCGTCGGTGGGAGGGTATAGCAGGTAATTTAGTGTTAACAACTGAGTTGAAAACGTAAATTGGCCACCGTAAAGGGTAAAAAAGCTGACGTTTCGAGCGTTAGCCCTTCGTCAGAGCGATTGTGCGTAAAGTGAGGAAGATTTGCTGAGGTGTTAGTTAAAGTGCTCCAGCTATCTCTATTGTGACTTGAAGAAGTCTTTCAGCAGTGTAGTTTAAGAATGTTGGTTAGGAAAGGGACTTCATTTCTGTGAAAGGTCTTGGAAAGGCCTACCCATGGGATCAAACGTGAGGGGGTAAAAGATATGTTTAATGCCCTTCTTTTACCCTCAGGGTAGCTCCTTTATAGACTCTTCGCTGCTATGATGTTACTTATCAACGAGGTTTTAATTAAAGATTTCTCAATTTATTGACAGCATGCATAGTTTGTGATTAAGCTCTGAGTCTTGCCCTCAGCATTCTCTTGACATTTTTCCAATAATGGGACTGTGGTTTACTCCAGGACAAGGTAAACATGGCGTCAAAATCAAACGGCTCGAAAAATTCCAGACGATGGCTGAAAAAGCAAAGAATAAAAATTACTTAACGAGAGTAGTGCCCATGTTCCAGTCTCAGATTCTTTACATATCCGCCTCAAACCAAATGAGGATGATGAGAAATAGGCCCAAAACTGAGAAGGCCTGGGAACGTTTGGGGAGAAAGAGTATTAAAAGGGAGAGGTTAAGATTGAAGTCTAGCCTTGTTTGAAGTCGTGTTTCCCACCACACTAAATCAAAGGGAGCAAATGAGAACTCACTGTGAACGTGTATGCGGCTAAAGCGAGGAGGAACTCGGGCGACGAAATCATGATTAATTTTAGTTTTGAATTAGATTGGTTGAGAGGGTGTCACGAGTTTCTGCACTAATCATAGAGTGTGGAAAAGCAACATAAATACCCTCCTTCACCCCACAGAGTTGAAAGGTATTACAACTAGCTGATCGAAATTATAAGACAGACAACTTACAAGTCAGGACTGGTGACATCAGCTGATGCAGGATACAGTGACTCGTATTTCCTTTGATTCCCTGAGCCATGAATAGCGTATGCATTGATTTTTCTCACTTCAGGAGGAAAGTAGTCGATTGGTATTTTAGCAGTTCCGTTCCATGTATTTTTTGCGCGGTCGATTGTGGCTGCGTACTCAATGGGAAGTTTGTCCTGTCAACGAAAAACGAGAGGAAAATTAAGGTTACCTTTAGGCTTCCGGCTGTGTTTATTGGAATGTTCGTGTTACTCTGAACAGTGTGCACAAGATACGAGCCAGAAATTGTTGAAAAAAAGACAGAAAGAAACAAAGGAAACAAAAAAAAATTTACTATACGATGTACTGTAAAAATTTTCAGTTACCGGTACATGGAACTGCAGAGAAAAGAATGGAATAATTAATCTCTTCCTAGCAAACAAATCTTCTGCAAAGTTAAGTTATACTTACTAAGAATTTCTTTCGCACTCCATTTAAAAGGAGGAGCAAGTGCTGTCCGTGCCTAAAAACATAATCAAACAGGATATTTTAATTTTCAAAACAAAAACAAGGGGAAAGATGACATATATAGAACATCACCAACTCCTAAGCAAGGGACCCATGGGGGGGCAGGATTGTATGAGACTCCTTTTGTAGAGTTAAACTGATAAGTTCAAACAGTGAATCAAACTGGCATGCCTCCCCCCCCCCCCCCCCCCCAAATGATGCTAATGAGACACTATCGTGGCAACTCCTCCCATCCAAGATACTCCTAGAAGAAAGCAAACGGAATTCTTCAATTCTTGATGAGGTTGGATGCCGGCGGCAAATTCCTCAAATTCATTTTCAATTTCTTTTTTCAAATTGTAAAAGTAAAGAATTTCGAAGGGTGAAAGGCAACACTCACGGACTAAGCTCAATTTCTAGGTATTTCTCTCGTTTTCCAAGGAAAAAGACTTCAGCGACTGAAATAAGAAAGACCAGGAATAAGGAATAATATAATCAATCAGACTGTTAACGGACAAGTGTATGTCATTTTCTCAATAAGGATGATAATAAATTCGTAGTTTTTTAAGCTCCTTAAATTGTATAAAAATAGTCGACTACTTTTATCTGTTTTTTTCATACATCTACTATATATTCACTTGTTTCTTTATCTAAATAGCTGTTTTAAAAGAAAAATAGGTTTTTTATAGGACTGTTAAATTAAAATTTTCAAATTGGTAAAAATTTGCAAACATTAACCGAGTGGGTTCTCAATCGCGCGTCAGCGAACCATGGAATACCTGATCATGCCCTCTTCTTTTTAGGCTTTAACTAGATAAAGTACGCGATCTTGCTAAAAACTATAACAAGCCAGTTACTATTTGACTGAATTATAGGAATTGATTATACAAGTCTTGGCTAAAATGAAAAATAAATAAACAATTAATTGCCTTGATTTCAAATCATAATTGAAAGGCCACCCGCCTAAATTCCTGAAATATTGCAGTTTACAAAACTCATGAATTTAGAGTCATACCTTCATAATCCCACAATCCATCACAGGCACTTCCTGCTTTGCACGGTGGAGGGTCTGGGTCATTAAAGAACGGTCCACTAACAGAAATACGTACGGTTCGGGAGTCCTGGGCACTAATTTGGAAAGTGACAGGGGCGTGGTTGATTTTGGATCCATTCCACTCTGTATTGATGGCAAAATTGTATTCCTGATAAAGGAAAAAAAAACCTTGAGTGATGCATAGAAAACAGGATGCTCACGATAGGGTTAAACTATGATTAGATATATCATGTTCTTTCACCTACTAAAGCTAGACGTACTTCATTAGAAATAGAAGAAAAGGCCTAACACCAAAAGATTATAAAAATCTCTTGTTAACACGTTAAAATAGATTTGCAAAGGGTAACGTTTCATTTAATCCAATCACAACAAATTGCAACACCCGACTGATTAGATGAAGATCCTTAATTTACGTTTTTCCTTGAAATCTTTAAAAGGCTCGAGGCAAAGCGCTTTTGTGGACTGAGGCGACTGTCTCTGATCACTAATAATCAGGTACCGGCCATGGTCTGCAATGCAAGTAGTGATGAAATAACCTGCTGGTACCTGTAACTTTTGTAGGATAAGTAAATTTCTGAATCAATTGAAACGCCGAAAAATCGCTTACTTAATGATAAAAATTTCGTACCTTTGGACAAGACTGGCAAAAATTCACGTAGAAAACGAATACGAGCAAAACGCAACTATAAATTTTGAGGAACATTTCTTGGGCAGGCCAGAGTCTTTCTTTGAGTAACTTTCACGAATCAATCTGCAGCATCTATGAGAGGCGAAGCAATTTCAACAAAGCTAAATTGAAATGATTCTTTTCCAGATGAAATTATTTTGACAACTTAATAAAACATATCTCTGTCTATCGAGAGACGTGTTATGGCATGTTGTAGTTACAGCTTTGTTGACTGTTGGCTGAGGATGAAGTCATGTTTGGACGATACAATTTTCCTGTAACAGTTTGTCGTTTCAAATCTGTCAGGCACTGCTCTTAGTTTAAACAGCTAGGTTTAATTTTCTGAGATTTTTCTTAGCGTTGTTTCATTTTTCAACTGAAATATTGCGAAATGAAATTAATACGAACGAAACAGTGAAAAAAGTCAGAGTTCTTTGGGTTGTAAAATTCAAGAGTCTTTTGATAACCGTTCCACTCCCAACTTCTCACCTGAGTGGTTGGGTGGGAAAGGGTTAAACGGGTAAAGAATTTTATAGTGTGATGTGAAAACAAATTTTTAAATCAACGAACTAGATCACTACCCCCCCCCCCCCCCCCATTTTCTTTTGCACCGCTGAACGTTCCTTAGGCTCAATTTCGTTAAAATTGCAATTTCCTCAAAAGTATCTTTGAAATACTCATTGACGAATATTTCTGTCAGGATACTTGGCCATTATGTGCGTTTTTTTTAAAATGCAGATATTTCCCCGCCGTTCTCAGATTTGTCCCTTCTTACCTTCTGGCAAAACTGACATGATTTTGGACAATTTTCCCTCATAAATACAGCTTGATAAGAACAGTAGTTCTTGACTCTAGCAAACGTGGCGCATTGTTTCCTTTTATCAACACAATCTATGAATCAACCGACAGAGAAAGTTAGCGAGAAAAAAGTTTAACAACTGAGCAGAATCACTAATAACTACATAACTAGTAGAAAAAATGATAGGACTGGAGTTACAGTTATGTTAAATATTATATTGCCCTCCAAGATGAATTGTGATTAAGGACACCAGCTAACAATGATGAAACTTGTAAAACGACGATTCTTCAGTCTTTGTTTCTTACCATCTGGGCTTGGCGACCTGACATTACCATTATTGCCTGGAAAAGGAGAAAGTTAGAGTCAGTTTTGTTACACTTGTCATTTGGCCTTGTTACATTAGGATTAACTTTTGGCAACCTGTGACAAAATTTGCGAAGCATTATATAATAATTGCGTATTAACACCCTTGGGAAAGTAAAAATGATGCAACAAAAAATTTATTAATGTCAGACAAATTCAAATCCTATAAGGTTTAGAAATGTGTAGAGAAACATAATGAAAATTTTAGCTGTGGCCCTCGGGCGAGATGGCATTAAGCTGAAGCAACAACTTTGTAGATGACGAAATAGGGCTTGCAAGGAGACCTCCCATTTATACCCTGCAACCTGCTTCGGAACGCCATAATGGAACAAAGTAATTCCTCAATTTAAAGACAAGTATAACTTTAAAAAAATTCTATAAGATTGAATATAAGAATCATCAACGAATACTCGTTCTGGAAAACCCTAAGAATACCCAACTGTCAAACAGTTAGGTTTGCTTTGGACATATCAGGATAAATGTAGCTTACCTTTACACAAGTTACAGGATTTAGGGCAGTTTGTTTTCATGAAAACAGGATTAGCTTCGCAATAACCTTCGTTGTTCGCAACAATAGGGGCGCATATCGGTAAAAAATCGCGACAATCTACCAAACCAAATAGATGCAGTTTAGTAGCTTTCACTCTTTGTCAAGTATGGTAATGAGAGACTGACTATATATCAGAGCGACTTTGTACTTTGCTTCTTTAAATCCGGCATTTCCCTCTAGTTTCTTCTAATATTCAAATAAATTCATATCCGCTATGCATTATTCTTTTATCTAGAGCTAACTGATAATTGCCAAAAATATAACTATCGAATATTTGAACGACTCAAGATCAGAGCGAGTTTGTACTTAGCTTCTTTAAATCCGGCATTTCTCTCTAGTTTCTTCTTATATTCAAAGAGATTCATATCCGCCATGAATTATTCTTTTACCTAGAGCTAACTAACTGATAATTGCCAAAAATAGTAACAATCGAATATTTGAACGATTCAAGATCGCCATGTGAATTCGGTGTCG